CTCCTTAGGGGGATAAATAAAGGACTTATCTTATTATGTCCTGATGAAGCCAGTTGGAGGCTGTTACACAGTGCAGCTAACACACACTGACATGCACAATGTGTCGAACATCACTAACAGCACACAGGTGTCATTTGAGCGCATTATCTTGACGTGAGCTGCTGTATTTACACCGGAAACAAACAAACAAACAAACAAAAAAAAAACCACTATTGAAGTAGCTAACGTTAGCCACCGAGCTACTTTAGCAAAATGGCTAACACATTAGCTCTGCTGCTGCAATCCGACAGAGAGCAATCAAGCGACTCAGCTAGCAATTTAAACTAAAACCCTTTCCTCACATAGCACACAGCTAGCTGGGGCTGGCACTGTGCAGCAACATGTCAGCAACATTTGGGGGGGAAACTGACGGTACGTAACCTATTGAGTGGCTGAGCAAACCGCGTCCTCACCAGCACGCAGTAGTTAATGATTGACAAGTGTCATTTGCAGTAAATATTAGCCGTGGCTAAACGTGTTCACGGCTAAATTAGCTCAGAAGCTATCAAGCTAACTCACCTAGAAATCGTAAATATTCCTGTCGATGGATTTGTTCTTTATCGTCGCTGTACACGCCATTAGATGGTAAGTGTTTTTCCTCAAATGGACAACGTCTGGAGATCCGCCATTTCTTCATGAGCCGCGGTGACAAAGAAAGGCAATTAATGGTATTTTTCATAACTTAATTGATTTTCTGATTCGCCTGTGATCCGGTAGCAGCAACAACAACAAGGCTTCCGGCCTGAGGCCTTCAGAATAAAAGCGGCACATGTGCTGGTAACCTAAAACCTAAATTTAGCACAAACCTGAGCACATTATACAGTGAATACTTGTACGTGTAAGAAGGAAAATCAAACCAATTCAGCCTTACATTGTAATGGTATAGTGAGGGGAATTTAGCATTTGTACAGGATCATTTGACTGTGCTTGCATAATGCTTGATTATTAGGTCCATTATGAGTATTTCATCTTTCAGTGGTCTTAAAAGCACTCTCATATTCTCACATAATGGAAAGATACAAGGTAAAGCAGCTGTTCAGTTGAGCAGTGGCTGGTTGAAGTTTTTCTGCTCTATATATGTGCTCACTTTAATGCTACCTTGTGCTTTTTGTAACAGCATATTTTGATAGACAAGAAATAAACTACTTTTGTGTTATAAACATACTGCTCAAGCAGAATATTTAAATTGTATCGTCTTTGATTATAAAATTAAAGTATTTTGAAACAGCTTTAAATAGTTTTAATTCCTGGCTTTTATTCTGAAGGCGTGGGGCGCATACCGGATATGTTATTGTTGCTGGCGGATGAATCTTGGTTCCATTGTATACATCTCTCTTCCGTTTACTGAGGCGTTTCCGTTTCCGAAAACAATTTCCGGTTTCTATATCGCACTGATTCATTGTAGTTGTAGTTCTTGAGTGTGTAGTAGCTAAAATATGAACATTATTAAGATTTATTTATGTAAGTTTGTCAGTCCCACAAAAATACAATGCACTGATGTTTTTATACAGCAGAATATCCCCTTCCATTAATGTCATTTAAAGCCCAAACTATAAGCTCACGATTCCAGGCTGATGAAGATACAATGTAGTGAAATGTAACATTTTAGAAAAGTGAAAAAACTGCCTCAAATGTAGCAACATTGTCACTCTATATATATTTTAAATAATGTTGCATCAATTGGCCTATATGTCTATATGTGACATTTTAGGTCTTTATCTGCATTTCACAAAAGAGGCACTTCCATCTGTCCCAAGACTGCCTAAAATAAGTTTGTGTCCTGTGTCCCATTGTAAATCTCCAGAATGAATGAATGCACCACCAGGTCCCACAAATAAATATTTTGTCTGTAAATTATATTTATGTCTTTAATATTATACAATTGTAGGGCACTTTACAGGGACAATAAAGCATTATACATTAAGCTCCCTGTTCATATACTGTTCAGTGAGACTCACTCTGGGAGAGTGCATCAATAGGCCTGTAGACTTAACTGGGGCTTGGGAACCAGGCTAACCTAAAAGATATATAGGTTGTCCTCCTAAAAAGTTCCATGGAGTATTTATATAGATCTTGATGTAATGTCTTTCTCTCTCTCTCTGTGTGTGTGTGTGTCTGTTATTTTCATCATTGTAAACAGTGCAGTGTTGTTGTTTTTTGCCCTCTGAAGATGCCCAGGAGACCCCCCCCCCCAAGGAATAGTTAGAAAGAAATGGAAACACTCTAATCTTTCACTCCTTTACAGCCTGAAACGATCAACAGAAATATCCCTCCACATCTGGGACAAAATCTAAAAAAAAAGAGATGGCGTGTGTGTGTGTGTG